TAAATAGTTACTAAGTCCCATGAACATCCAAGTAGAGTCTACCTACAAAACGTGCAGGAGCCTGTCCTGCTAGACGCAGAAATCGGATTGTAAATCTGTAGTCTGGGTTGCTGTTAAGGAACTTTAATCAAGTTCCCATAGTGGGCATAAATGGTATATAAATAATCAGGTTTCCCGGTTTCCCCAATACAGCAACTTAAGTTAAGCTCCTTTCCACCAACCCAGTAGTTGTGGCGAGTCCTCAAGCCCATCATCTGCTCCCGCTACTGCTCCCGGCTGCTACTTCAACTTCCTCGCCTTCTCGTCTTCATCTAACTTCGAATCCTCCTCCTACTGCTGCTGCTACTGCTGCTGCTACTAGTGCTACTCCTGCTACTACTCCTGCTGCTGGTACTGCTCCTAGTATTATGAGATTTTTGCCACTCACAGCTCCTCCTCCTCATGGAGCTTCATCTCACTTCTTGGGCTTCCTGCTCCTCCGGCCACCACTACTACTGCTCTTGGGACCAGGACGGCGACAAGAACAAGGCCCAGGCCAAGAGGAGACTAACTAATTACGACCACCACCAACTCTTTGCTTCCTACTACCACTGCTGTCATGAATATCCTTAAACGCCGAAGTCTGAACCCTGAACGGTGCCACCACAGAGGAAGCTTCTGGGGGTCAGGGGACCAGCAGCTGCACCGGCGAGAAGTTGAGCTGCGGCGTAGGCGGTACCTGCTCAAAGCTGACTTCAACGATTAAGGGTTTTGGGCTAAGAGTTTATGTAGTCTCCATAAATGGGTGGCCCCAAAAAGGGGCACTAACATATCATAATTGTTGCTTCAGGGACGTCCCTAGTTTCCGGAAACCCTCAAATCTGTTCGGGGTTGGGTCGTAGGTGTTCCAAAGGTCAAGTCTTGACCACGCGCATTGCAAAAGGCACGCGTGCAGCTTTGGGGCTTAGGATGCGGCAGAGGTGTTTCCTTCAGAGTGCACGTACCCAAGCATGTACTCAACAAACTTCTGACTCTCGACCCCCCCCAAGAAAAGGAACCTTTCCTCGAAAATCTGGACACATGATGATAACTCCACAGCCTGAATTAAGGCCATCTTGGCTTTATATTCAATACACAAGCACAATGTCAAGTAAGGTCGTCGTAGTTCTGGCCAGAAATCAGAGAAAATAACTGGTAACTTGAAATGAAGCCTTGTCGGAGATGGATCGACATTGGGGTTGAAGTCAGGTGAATTTGCTCAGCCGGGTTTGAGGTTTAGGGTTCAGGGTCCAGCATTTCCCCAGTTGGTTCTGTGTCTCCTCAGTTCTGTCAAGTGGGTCCTTTAGCCAGCGGTTCGATCTTTTCTTTCTGATATGAGCTATAATTCAAACGCCTAGTATCCCAAGACTAGTCCCCAATTTAATCCCCTATATAGCCCCCATGAGGAAGTTAGACTATAGCTCATAGTTAGCATCACTACTTCTGGGCAAGGGGGGGCCACGAGGGCCCCCAGCACATTGAACCGTCAGGTAACTGCAAGCTTCTAACTGAGCAGAAAGCCATGCGAGGCCTTCGAAAGTGGAGCAAAGCTTTCGGCCGCTGGCCACAATTGCCATGGTAACCTCAGCTTGGGGCGCAATCACCTCGCCCGAGCATTGAACAGACCCCTCCGGCGAAGCTCAGATATGAGCCAGACCTGCAAAAAAACATGAGCCGACGTTAGTGCCTCTTCCTCATCGCCGCTTTGTGTATTCATGCAAGAGTACGTGTTTGTTTGCTTTACTTACTGGCACTTACTGGTTCTTAGTAGGGAATGAGGGAATGTAATCCCTAAATAACCCCCACATGAAATATTCCCATATTCCCTACTAAAAACAAATAAGTTTACTTTTCTCAGGATGGGAGCAGATGTAAAGTTCAACAGAGGCTGCGAAACACACTGGATAAGGTATGCAAGCTTGAATCAAATCAAGCGTACCCGATAGCACGGCGTCAAGGAACGGATTCTCAATACTAGTCCTGATATAGACCCCCTAAAAAAGTAGTTGCCATGTTCTGTTCCATTTCTTCATCTCCTACAAACCAGGAGGGGTAAATCAGGTGCCAGACCCTAAGCCACACCTGCACCTACTGTACTCTCTGCATAGGAGGTCACGTTTGCAACTGTTGCGCCGGTAAGAGCCATTTAGCGCACATGTGGTATCTGTGTTTCTTCCGAGTGCCAACGAGGAGACTCATGTGCCACATGCTCATGACCAATGGGACACATCACCCCTCACATGACATGTGGCTATCCGCCCATGTGCAACAGTAGCCCATACGACGGTAGTAGCTTCTAACTCTGAATTGCAAACTGCAACGTTGATAAAAATCAAACCGACCCATGTCAGGTGCCATGGATGCATGGGGATATGCTTCGCTTGAAGCAGAAAAGCCGCCTCAGAAACAGACCATATTCAGGGAACACGCCATATTACAACCTAGACCCTCAACCCTGCAGTAATTTCCATCCCTAAACCCTAAACCTTTCATGCCTGAACCTCACCTCTGGAGTCTACTGTGGATACAGAAAAACGTTCATTGCCTCATTGTATTGGGCTGCTACAAAAGAACTTCAAGTAAGTTACAACATTATGGGTATGTAGTACATGATGGGGTTTCCTTCTTATAGTAATTCACAAGAAGGTTCCTTAACAGCAATCCCGTGTGCTGAGCTGCCATACGCGGGTTCCCCAAAAAGCGACGTCCCTGTTTTGGGGGTCCCCATTCTCAGGGCCATGGTATGTTGCGGATCTAATTGGAGCCCCAAACCCTAAACTCTAAACTATGATGGGGAATTACCATACTTCCCAAGATGTCACCTTACTCAGGATCATGCAGAATGTCAGCACTGACCAAACGAAACACTAAACTCTAAAACCGACTAAACCCCTAAACCCTTCTTGACCCTAAACCCTAAACCCCAATCAAATCCTAAACGCTGTACATCCTGAACCCTAAACCCCATAGACCCTAAAGCCTAAACCCTATAGATGCTAAACCGTAAACCCTACAGATCCTAAACCCGATACCCTATAGATCCTAAACCCTAAACCTATGAAGCTGACTCGTCTAAGGCACAGCTGGGTTCAGGTGGGCGCCCGAAATATTTCCCAGGCAGTAGATCATGCCTCCATCCGAGTTCGCAGGGTTCAAGCTATTCGCCTCAAGCCTCTTGGTAGCTTACATCATGCATGCGGTTTGGATATAGGCTATATATAGGGTTAATGGGAATTACGGCTTGAGTTCATGATTTGTCGGCAATGTGCTTGCTTGGACTTCTGCGGATCTGGTTTGCCGCTGCGCTTCTACAGCACCGGAGTCCACCGTCACTGCGCAGCACTTGGATGCAGGCTTTACAGTTCAGGGTTTAAGGCGGGTGGCCTCTTAGCCGTCTTAGCCAGCTTTTCGGATTTGAGTTTAAAGAGAAAAAAAGGGAACAAACGTGTAGTACTCTCAGGAATTCTAGGAGCATGCATGTGCTATGACGGAGTTGCAACCGAGGCATAGCCGTAGATTACTTCCATCTCGCAGCTACTGGCAAGATCATTGCTGAACCCAGGGGCTCCAGTACAAACCCTAAACCCTAAACCCTAAACCCGGTAGTATCTGAACTTCTATGAAAACCGTCACCAAAAGACCGTAACAAACACGAAAAGAAACTACACAATCCGCTCCCCAAAATTGAACCTCCCCCGCCCCAATATCAAATACTCCCAATATACCATGATATGCCACCATGGGGAGAATCTAATACTAGGGGGTGGGTGTGGGCTTGACATTTAAAATCCTAAATCCTAAGCCCTAATAACAACCCCTATATACCCCTTCAAGGGTGGGGAGGGCTTGATACAACGGAGAAGGGATTACATAGGAGCCCTTGGGTAGAGATCTAAGTTTCAACCCAGGCCATTGCTGAACCTGGGTCTTGAAACCAGGCCAGAAAGCCTAATAAGACATACGTGCAAAAGGGTCTAAATTCCAGTATGTATATATACATATATATATATAACATATGTTTACATACATATGTATATACATATGCACATACATATACACATACATATAGATAGATAGATAGATAGATACATAAGTATGTGTATAAATATATATATATTACATTCACATTCCTATATGACGTATACTTGGGCCTCAAAAGACCCAAAAAGGAACCCTTTTGCACCCCAGGTGTGTACAAGATACCCAGTTGAACCTTGAGGGACTGTGCGATCTTTAGCAAGAAAAGCCCTGACGCCTGAACTCTACAGGCCGTGGGGCCGTCACATCAGCGAGTATAGAAACCGAATGATCAGAAAAGGCTGATGGCGTAGACTGCAACGTAACTGTATCCAGCTTCAATACCGATGATAGAGGACCAACCATTTAGTCAACATTGTTTCTATTTTGGGCACATTGGGCATTGGGTGACTATAGCGCGCACACCTTTCCAGAACGGCTATTACATGTTCAACTTCTGGGCGTCAGACCCTGAAACCCTGAACCCTAAACCCTAAATAAAAAACCAACTGCATTGGCCGAGCTTTGGCTGCCTCTTTGGGCAATGGTCGTAACAGAGTCCCGCCACTTGTGAAAACTGCTCCTTTCTGAAAACTTCCCCGGATTTGGAAGCCCTAGATCCTGATACGGACTGCCTATGTTAAGTCAGAGGTCATAAGCCCCTGCCCAAAAATATCCTAAATCATCAGCTCCATTCTGAAGACGTGGCACACATCAACGCAGCTGCTGCCGACCATGCCGTTGCGGGTGAGTCGTTGACAAGGTTCAACCCAACCTGATTCGTCGGAAGCCCAATATCCCCTGATTGATTAAGGAATCTACCCGAAGTCATATGAAGGATGCCAGATATGGTTGGAGGTATGTTCCCTAATTTAAAGATATTGGGCTTTCTGGGCTTGAGTATCCTCAACCCTACAAGCCCTAAGCCCAACCTGGTTTTGAATGCAGACCCATATTGTCCTGGGCTGAGCTTTCTCGTTTTCAGGGCGCATTCAGGTCCAAATAGGATACGCCTGCAATAGGATACGCTCAGGCCACCAGAACATATCTGTACAGTAATCCATCTGGGCCAGAAGTAGAAACACATAAACAACAAACAAAACACATTTAAAACAACTCATATACATATATATAGGGATATGGATACCTGGGCTTTCAGGGAGGGGTTCGAAGCTGCCGGTCGTCTTGTAGGGCGTCAGCGCTGCCCACAGCGTTTAGGCTATGGGGGGGTATTTTGCTAGTAAAGAAAAGTTTCTACTAGGAACCAGGGGAGTCCGCGACCTGGAAACTTGAATCCTGCTTCCACTCAACTTACTGGTTCCTAGTTGGAACTATGGGACTAGTATAGTATATAGGGGTCATATGCAGGTTATATTCCCTGACTGCCTACTAAGAGCCAGTAAGTCAAAGGGCTCTTGCTTCGAACATTAATTCACACGGACGTTAATCTATGCCTCGGAATCAAGCCCACATGCGCACGCCCTCAGGTGGCAGGATGCCAGTTTCCAGAGCCCTGCAAACCTAAACCCTAAACCCTAAATGGATCTTGCAGATCTTTTCTCCAAGCGTGCTAGCAAAAGAGAATCAATACCCCAGTCCCTAAAAATCCAAATATCCCAAAGAATCGAAGAATACAACAGGTAAAGACCTAAGGGCCCTGAGAGTAGGTACTGGGTCCCTCCGCTCCCCTGTAAGCACCAGTAACCAAAGTGGTATAGTAGGAATATAAGAGGACCCTAATATGATGATAATCCTTATTATCCATTGTAGTCACTATTACTGGGTGGGGGGTCCACCTAAGATCTATATCTAAATTCGTTGAGCTGTGGGACGGTCAGCACGAGCATGAAAGCTCCAAGGAACTCGCTGAGCAGCTTTACCTGCCAAATCTGCTAAACTCAGCCAGTACTAAACAGGGTCGAACATGGTTTAGGCTTTTTAAGGGTTTAGGTGTAGCAGGGGATTGCAGCTGTTGTTTGGTATCGGAAACGGCTGCGGCTACGAGAAAGTGGCACGTCTCAGTCATGATAAGTTTGGCGCTCCATGACAGGTCTGTAGGAAGCATTACAAAAGATACCTGATTTTGGGCTTGGCTTCAAACTGGAAACCCTGAACGCTAAAACCTGTGCCTCTAGTGCTGATGTCTTTCATGCCTTCAGGGGCATGCTCTTGCAGTGTAGCTCCCCAAACTTACGGGCGGGGGGAAGGGAAGGTGGATCCCTACAACAATCCTAGACTCATCCTCTACAATAAACAGTCTAAACCCTAATCCCCTAAACCTCTCTAAACCTTAAACCATAAAATCTAAACCTATATCCAATCCCCCACTCCCAGGTAACCCCAAGGAGCTAAAGGAGCGATCATTTGCGGATTTCCGGAATCGGGCGCCTTCAAGGGTTTAGGGTTTAGGGTTTGCGCGGTTTAGGGTTTAGGGTTTGCGAGTTACCCTCTATGATACCAAGGGATTGCGTGGTTTCCTGCGCGGGGATTCTACAGGGATTGCGTTTTGTATCGTTTTATTCATGAAGCTCCAATTTCTTCAAGACCTAGCCCTCTCCACTAAAGTCCAGCACGCTGAAATCGGGGATGTACTAGATGTGCTCAAACCCTGTCCCGCGACTTTCACTAATCTGTTTTGAAGGGGTATGGTTGCCATGGTATCAGGTATCTGCATGAGGATCTCTAGGAGAAACAGCCTTACTCGGTATCACGAATCCAACAAGGCATAGCTAATCCTGAGGGTCAAAGTCTACAAATGACACTCCGACATCTCTGGGCCTGCACGTCTAGAAATTATGTCCAATCTGGACTTGGTGGATCCCTAAACCCTAAACCCCTACAGTTGATACTAAACATCCTGCATGACCTTGGTGGGTTGTAGTACCATAATGCTCAAGGTGGGTGGTATTTGAGGTCATGCAAGAGTTTTCGTATCCCTAAACCCTACACCCTAAACCTAGTGTAACCCTGTACTTCAAGCCATGTCACAGGCAGAGGAGGCTGGTAATCATCTGCCACAGGTTCAGAGGAATACTCCTGGGGCTTGAGAGCGGTTTAGGGTTTAGGGAACGCAAACTACCCACGTGGGGATATACAAGCTATAGCCTAAACTCCAAGTATCCCCCCTCATAACCCCTATAATAGTCCCCTATAATCCCCTATATAACCCCCCTTAAGGAGTTTAGACTATGAAATACGATCATGTACGGGATTTGAGTGGGTGGAAGAGAGTATGGGAGCTACTATGTTGTTTAGGATTGGGGCGGAAATTATGGCTTCCCACAGAGCCAAATACCTTTTAATTAGGGAATATACCTTGCGTATTGAGTAATAATCTTACTTGATCTAGTGGGTTTTCACTTGGAACCTGGCTTGTCTCCGAGAAAAACTTGAGGGTTGCAGCACCCTGCCCTCCCCATGCGGATTCTCGGGCTGACGCTTCTAGGTATTGTCAAAATCGGAAATGGCAACGGAACAACAGGAGGACTCCCTGACAGCTCAAAGGGTCCTCCTGCCGAAGCATGCGGTAGAGTGCGACTGCGACTGCAGCCCCGAGGAGCTCGAACAATCCTTTCAAGGTGGGTAGGCCAGTAGGTCAGACTTTGATGCAGGGTCCTCACCTTCGGTTCTACGCCTAATTTTCAAGCCCACTCAAATCCATCCTGTCATGTAGTCTTATGGAACTACCGCACCGTTTTTGACTGACTCAAACAGCCAAATTGAAAGCCACTTACGGCGTGTCCGGCAATTCCGCGTCTTTTCTCGCGCTTTCTCTGCTAAAGCTAACAGCCCACAAGGCCTCACGATAGCGCACGGACACCTTGATCTTATACAGTAGTTTGGGGGGTAAGCCCTTGTTGTGTGTAGGGCACCGTGCAAGCAAGGTGCCCCAAAGGAAGCCCATGCCGACGCCCTTGCCTTGGTGACACAGTTGAAGGTGTGAGGGTTCCGGGAGCTGCGAGAGAGGCTGCGGTTGCGCAGGCTGGATGCCAAGGAAAGGAATTTAAGTTTAGGGTCTTTGGGCTCAAGTGTTGGGAGCTACTCAGGGGAAACGGTTTTCTCATGTCTGAATCAGGGATCACAGGATAGTGCGTCCACTGAGAGCTACACGAGTGAATCCAGAAACTCTCGCTTCAGAGCAGCAGGATCCCTGACCGAGATTGTTAGTCTGTACGAACATGCCGCTCCTTGGTTCCTTGAGCTGTGACTTACTACTGCTTCAGAGAGTAGGTCGTGGTTCGTGGAAAATCTTGGAACGGACCCTCTATTCGAAGCCTCTGCTGCAAACCTTGAACCAAAACCTTGCTGTCGATACGAAAGTTCCGCACGACCTGTGTGAACTATAACCATACGTTCCAAAGCGTCGCACCCCCCCCACTACTAATTATGCTCCCTTAAATGTCAGGGGTGGGCTGTCAAGAGCCTAATGAAGAAGAGTGAAGTGGTGGAACGTGCCTCACCCACGCAAGATCATCAAACATGCTGTAATGCACCTAGCTTTTGCATATGCTCTACCCCACCCCCACCCGGCATCCCCTCGCATTACGAAAATCCAAAGCCTTTTGGCGTTGCACGAAAGCCAATATTTCCTCAGTTTTTAATTGGTTTCAACATGCGCAATCTGGG